GATTGAGTTAAATTCCAACACACAGCTGGGAAGGAGCAGACCCAGACCTTTAACTATAGACAGTGCAAGTAAAATATGCAGAGACGAGAGGTGCAGATTCCTTATCAGGCCCTGAAATTTGTAACTCCCCCCATTATAAAACCATGACATGTTACATATTTTAGTAGCTTCTTTAGTGCAGCTTTGAGAGATCTATTACATTTCCACCAATAACATTTTCTACCAGGGAAGGTAAAAAGGGTGTGTCTCCTTTTTCCTATTTGCCTGACTTTCCTCCCACCAAATTAAACCCAGAATCCAAACTCCTGAGCCCTGATCAGTGATGCTTTGACTAACCAGTACTTTTCAAACGTCTTCTATACTGTCTTCTTATAACTGTGTTATATTGAAATCTAGGTCTCATCAACATGCATGTATAAGTGAAACAGAGCTGCATTAGTTGGTGCTTACCTTTCTATTTAAAAAGTAAATATTTTTTTTAAAGATTGATTTTTATTTATCCAAGAGCTGGGGTACAGGCCAGAGTCGTGGGAGGGTGAGAGGATTCACCAGAGACAGAGCGGGCAGCAGAACAGGCAGATGGACAGAAAATACTGCTGAGGGGAGCAGTAGGTAAGGCAGGAGAGGTCTGCTTCGCCATGTGGGATTCTCCCTATCTGGCTGGGAATAGAACTGGCACTGCAGAGGCTGAAGACAGCTTCACAGCGCTGCGCTCAACCCGCTGCTCCACCAGGGAGGCCCAAAAGTAAATATTTGCTATACTACTTGAAAAAAATATGCTATTTCATTGAAAGCAAACAAATGCTGGTCATGAGCCACTAAATTTTATTTTATTTTTATTTTATTACTGATGAACATTGGTTTACAGCTCGCTTATGACTCAAAGAAGTAGGCTCATACCTCCTCAGGTGTATCAGCATGCCACAACCACCACCAAAGAGCATTTCTTTACTATACACCACTGGGCTCCCTCCCACTTGTTCCCACACCCTCTCTGTACCTCTACTAGCCTCTGTTCTGCAGTCACATTTCTCAGTTTTGTTTTGGTTTAGTTTTGTCAGTTCGTTTGTTTTGTTTCTCCATAGTTCACTTATGAGTGATATCATCTAGTATTTGTCTTTCTCCTTCTGGCTTTTTTCACTTTGCATAATTCCCTCCAGTTCCATCCATGTTGTCACAAGAGGGCAAGAGTTTATCTTTTTTATAGCTGAATAGTATTCCATTATGTATATATACCACATCTTCTTAATCTACTTTTCTGTCATAGAACACTTAGATTGTTTCCATAACTTGGCTATTGCAAATAGGGCTGCAGTGAATATTGGAGGGCATATATCCCTCCAAATTAGTGGTTTTGCATACATTGGATAAATACCAATGAGCAGAATTATGTTCTTCACCTTCTCCAGGGGGTTTTCTCTGCAATGTAGACCTGGTAACTTCAATGAGTCAGTTAAAAATTGCTGATAGCAAAGATGGGTCAGATTCCCATAGGGCCTCTAGCTTCTGGGAGATTGCACATCTGGTGGAATAATCTACTAGTTGCTTTCCTTTGCTGTCTTTTTTTTTTTACCATGCATTTTCATGTGGTATTTCATATAGATTTTCACAGTAACTCTATGAGTTAGGAATTCTTTTCCCATTACTATTTTGGAGAGAGAAGACCCAGAGATTGACTTGCTCAAGGTCAAAGTCAGAACTTGAACTCTGGCTCAGACCCTAATGCCAGGCTTTCACCACTGCCATGGAAGGGAATCTGCCATGGAGCACAAGGTGTTGGCAGTTTTTCTAATTCTGACAGCACAGCTTTTGAAGGTTGCAGTGTCTGACCAGAAAAAAAATTACTCAAGACTGTAGGATAAGGGGCCTCCCTGGTGGCGCAGCGGTTGAGCGCTGGGTTCCGAAGCTGCCCGCAGCCTCTGCAGCGCCGGTTCAATCCCTGGCTGCTCCCCGGCCACCGGAGGAGGGTCCCACATGGCGTGCAGACCTCTCCTGCCGCCCGCTGCTCCCCTCAGCAGTGTACTTCGTCATTCTGCCTGTTCTGCTCCCGGCTCTGGCTCTGGTGAATTCTCTCACCCTCCCGCGCTTCTGACTGTACCCAGTGCATGTATAAATAAATAAATAAATAAATAAATCTTAAAAAAAAAAAAAAAAAGACTGTAGGATAAGGACTCCTGCAGACACTTTGGATAGGCCTACCCGTTAGCATTGGGATAGAGATTCATAGGGCAATCGCATTCAAAGTGTTCCCATTTGCTCCAGGATCTTTTGGGTGAGAGGTGGGATTTTTCAATTAAAAAAGAAAGAATCCTGGGGGAAAAGTCAAACCATTAATAAAAAAATAATTTCTGTAAGTTTTGGTTTTGGTAGAATGATGCCATATTAGGTATGAAGCAGAAAAGCCAGTGTTGATCACTAACAATATGCTAATGATTCCTCCTTCATCTCTATTCAGCAGTCAATCAAAATATTACAGTACTGATAAGCATTTTATGTAATAAATATTTTACTCTCACTTTGCCTGGTTGGTAGTGGAATAAAGTATAAGAGAAAATGTATCAGCTTTGGAGAAAATGAACTTTAAGTTTAAAGTCCAGTTTTGTTACTTTGATGAGTCACTGACACTCTTGGTCTTAGTTTTCACATTTGTAAAGGATAGATAATACATCCTCGCCCCTAACTGCTAGAGACTAAATGGAAGAAACCCTCATTCCCCTGGGGGCATGCCGAGCTGCCATGTCCTGACTCAGGAGAGCCAATTGTTAAAATTTTGGGAATTAAACATAGCCTCTATCAATAATTAAATAATATAAACTTGTAATTAAATAAATTTTAAGAACAAAGGTAACAAGTACTCAAAACTCATAATCTCCAAATTATTTGTCTATATCTGATAATTATTCATATGGTTATTTTCATCTATTATAACTGTATGATAGAAATACTAAGTAGTGTGCAACTTTATCCTCTCCACAGCTCTCGGTTAAGTGACATCATAGTTTGAAATTGGCCATGCTGAGAATATTTACACCATGGAAATGAGCAAAATCTACAAATTGGGACTCAATTAATTGTTGATTGTTTAAGGCAGTTTTTCTCAGCCTCAGCACTGCTACTTATTTAGGACCAGGTAATTCTTTGTAGTGGAGATAAATTTGGCAGTGTCCCTGGCCTTCACCTGGTAGGGACCAGTAACAGTTCTTCTAAGCTATAACAATGACAACTGTCTCCAGATATTTCCAGTTAACTCCCTGGAGGGAGCAGGGAAAGATTGTTCCTTACTGGTCTAAGGAGTTGACAAGGTAAAGCAGACAAAATTGATCATGGATAATTTTGTACAGGCTAATAAGAGGTCTTATATTTTTAAAAGGTTTAATATGAGACACAGCAGCTATGGCCCTCAAAGCCTAAAACATTTACTTTTTTTGCCCCTTTAGAGGAAAAGTTTGTTGACCTCTGGTCTAAGTGATGGAGGAAATGTTAATAATAGAGATTAAACCTAAAAGTATGTTAAGTTTATAGCTGTTAACCTGTGAAGAGCACAAAAAGTATTGAAGAAATGTTCCTCCAATATTCAAAAACACAATTTGATTCAAGAAGCTACTCCTATTACTGCTGAGTGAATGTCCAACGTATGTGTTGGAGCTGAAAGAAGGTTCATTTTAATGAACATAATTGGCACAAGATTAACAGTTTAACAGTAGATGACATACATATATGTTCATGATAGTAAATATGTTGGGGAAAGAATTAACTTACTGGGATGCAATTCCTCTTGTTAAAACGTGATTAAGGGCCTCCCCGGTGGCGCAGCGGTTGAGCGCTGGGTGGCAAAGCTGCCCGCAGCCTCTGCAGTGCCGGTTCGATCCCCGGCTGCTCCCCGGCCACCGGAGGAGGGTCCCGCATGGCGCGCAGACCTCTCCTGCCGCCCGCTGCTCCCCTCAGCAGTGTACTTCGGTCCTTCTGCCTGCTCTGCTCCCCGCTCTGGCTCTGGTGAATTCTCTCACCCTCCCGCGCTTCTGACTATACCCAGTGCATGTATAAACAAACATACAAACAAACAAATAAATAAATAAATAAAACATGCCTCTATTAAAAAAAATTAAAAAAAAAAAAAAACGTGATTAACTTTATAGGTTGGCTGCCAATACAAGGGTTCAGCAAAAATCAATGAAATTGGCTACATAGCATTTATAATACATAAAAGTTGTATATTTGGCTATTTTTTTTGTAAAACATGAGTTACACATGTTTAAACAGGAGACTGAGTGTCTGTGTGTGTGTGTGTGTGTACCCTCTCTCTGACAGCTGGCTATTGAACATTTTCCAGCTCACCACTGCCCCCACCTACCCTACAGATAGATATTTTTTTCATGTTTTCTCCACCCTCTTAGTTAAAAAACACTGACCTTCTCTTTGCTTCATGGGATTCTTCAAGCTACCATTTTGCCTTGGAGCCTTTGCTGCTGCCTTTTCTTTTCCTTGAGATTCTCCCTTTTCTCCTCAATAACTTTCATTCTTCACATACCTGAGAACCTTCAGATCTAGTTTAGTTGGGAAATATAATGATCAGCCAGAAATTCCCAGAGAGAATAATAATAGCTAGTGCTTTTCTAGCATTTCTGTGCACCAAATACTCTATAGTACAACAGTTTGCTTTGATTAATTCATTTAATCCTTACAAGAACATCATGAAATAAGTAGTAATTTTATCTCCAATTTACAGAAGAGGAAACAGACATAGATATATGTTCAATAAAAACCTAAAGTCACATAGCTTGTAAGCGGTCTAGCTGGGACTTGAACTCAAGTAATAAGCTCCAGCATCTGTGTTCTCAGTCATCACCTCCCGTTGCTGCTGGAGTGAATGAAATCACAACTCAGACTCTTGCCATCCAAGAAGAACTGGACTGGGAGTCACCTAGGAGTTGCTGGGGGCAGCCTAGAGCTCAGAATGCCGTGAGTGCCTTGCAGAGACTCTTCAGATGGACTGGGTTTCCTTCCTCCTTGTGATAAGGGGTAGGTGTGCCTTAGTGTATCCAGAGCCCATGGGGTTTGGGAGTGAGCCTGTAGGAACTGCTTGTGCTATTTAATAAGTAAACTATAGCATTCCTAACAGACTTGAGTGTAGGCCTTCCACTAACTTTACAATGGGGAGCACTAGCACGTGCACACACACATACACACACACACACACAAACATTCATACCCATGTGCAGCACAGAACTTTGAAAAGTTTTTTTTCAAGTTCATTCATTGATTCAGTTAACAAACAGTTATGCAATGCTTTTCCCATGAGAGGCACTATGCTAAGCCCAGGGATCGAAACAATGGTAAGTCTGCTACTGTCCTCTAAAAATTTTGTTTTTGCTAAGGTTGTAAATAAGTAACTAATATACTGGGTCAAAGGAGGTAAGAGGCAATGAGAGGAATACAGGGTGAGGGAAGTTTGCTGGGCAGAGTAGGGGCAGGTGAGAGAGAAGGTTGACATTAGAGAGACCTCAGCATATGTGGGAGAACTGAAAGAAAAGTAATTTAGTGAAAGGAAGAGCTTGTGCAAAAGCATTGAGGCAGGAGAGCTTACTCCAGGTGGGCAATAGTTGGAGGTCTATTGAATATCTTGTCTCTTCAATAAAAACCTAAAGTCTATTGAAGAGACAAGATATAAGAAGATATTAGTAAGGCTAGATTTCCGGGAGGGGGTGTTCTAAACATCAGCATTTTAAGTTGATATTTTAGGCAATGGCAATCCTTTGGGGATTTGTGAATAGGAAAACAGTGTTGGCTACACAGTCGGCAGATAATATTTGTGCAATTGATAACAGAAAAATAATAATGGCTAAATATTTTTTTTGGGGGGTGCTTTCTATATCCTAGACATTTTTCTCAACATTTTACATATTTTCAATTATGCATGTAATTTTCAACATAGCCCAAGAGACAGTTACTCTTTCCATTGTACAGATGAGGAAACTGAGACTCAGAGGGGATTAATGTCTTGACCAAAGTTGTGGAAAATGAGGAGGCGTCTGACCAGGGTGCACATCTTACACTGAGAAGCAATTTGGGAAACTGGTGGAATTTAGTGGAAGGCCTGCACTCAAGTCTGGTAGAAAACAGAAAGGGGGGAAGGTCAGGGAAGAGAAGAGAAAGGAGTTATGGAGCCAAAGTGGTTCTTCGCGACAGAAGCTGTGGTAGGTCCAAAATAGTAGAACAAGGTAAGTTGGAAATAAGAGACATTCCAAAGACACAATCCACTCCAATCTGTTATTATTTGATCCAGGAGCCCTGGGAGAGGGAAGGGTCCAGAAGGCTGAGTTTCTAACTTCAGTCCCCTGAAGGAAATTAGAGGGGTTGAGAGGAGGAAGGACCATTCAGTTTTAGGTGATGTTTACAGAAATCTGGGTACCCCGGACCCTAAAAAGCAGCCTGAGGAGAAGTAAAAGGCAAGGTTCAAGGCTCCTCAGCTGTCACGTTCACTTTCCTTGGGCTGTGGGAGTTTGCCCTGGGAACCTTGAAGCTCTCCCAAGGTTCCTTTCTATGTTTATATCATTTAGCAGGGAAAGGATCGTTAATGACTAATCTGTGTTCAGAAGGCACACAGCCAAGGAGGAGATGCTCTGCTGGCCGGAAGGCCGCCCGTGATCTTCCACGGCTTTTGCTGGAACTCCCTCCTCCTCCTCACCCCACTGTCTCCTGCCTCACCCCAAGGCAAAAGCAGATTGTGAGCACTTGTGGCAAAATCACTGAGATTTGGAGAGGAGAGCAAGACACAGAATCCTCCCTGGGCCCTGGAAGTTCGCGTCCACCTAAGACTATCAGAGTGAGTACTTAATTCCTCTAGGGGAGGGGTGCCTATTTCAAGGCCACAGAAAGAAAGGAGTCATTTCAAGTTTCTCTTAAATACCAGCAGGTTTTGTCCATGAATGACTTCTAACTTAGTAGGTAGAGTTTGATGGGAAATGCTGAAAATTTGAAAAAGGGAAAGAAAGAAACTAAAAACAGAAAGAAGCAGGACTTAGTGGGTCTAACAGTTGCTTACCTTATGGAAGAATTATTTAGGAAGACCTTTTTAATAGTGTGACTACCCAGGAGAATCACTGGATGTCGCCACTAGAGAAATGTTTCCAGTCTGATCCATCCCTAACTTGACATGTACAATGTCCTTTAGTGTCATTTATAAAATCTTGATGTGAGCTTGGGAATATTTTGTCAGATGACTTGGAAACCAGAGATCAGACAACATTTAGGCTATCCATAATAGAAAATTTTTCCTAGGAAAAGAATAGGTTTAAAAACTTTGTCTTTTGACATCAGTGATAAACTCTTCTATTGCTTTCCATTTCTTGTATTAATATCAGAGGGAAATATTTTTAAAAGATGGAAGATAACAGGAAAAACTTTAATATTAAAATTGCCCAAGGTCTAAAATATATAGATAGATATCTCTCTGATTCCTGCACCGTGGAATTAGGCAGCTACGAGGTGAGTCCGGGTCATTTCAAGAGTTTTATTTAGAAATGAGTGGCGGGTGGATGCATTTGACTCAGTTAGAGTTCTTTGAGAAACTTACCTGAACTTTAAGAAAATCTGATGTTGCCTTAGAACTACCTCAGCAGTATGGACAAGGAGGAAGGAATAGATGTTGGCACGGTGGGTGGGAGGGCATCACTGGATTGCTGGCTGTGATTTTATAAAATGATAGACACCTTCATCTATGACTCACCCCTCACCCTCCAAATTATGGACCCATGCCATGTGCACTGTGGACTTTCCTGTTTTGCTGAGAATGTTGCAATATGACTGATGCAACTCCAAGTTAGCTGATAAATTCCTGGTCAGGGACAGTGTTCTCTTGTCCTGAGTCCCTTTCTAGAGATTTGCAGCTTTTTCTCACACAAAGTCCTTCTGCCTCTCTCTCCTGGCCCCAAAATGGAGAGGGAAAGTAGTAAAATCCTCATCCTTCCTCTTATTTCCACACCTTCAAAATCTGACCAAATTGTAATAGAATACTCAAAATTTAGGAGGCCCAGAATACTCTGTAAGGAAGGGTGTGTGTGTGTGTGTGTGTGTGTGTGTGTGTGTGTGTGCACATGTGTGTGTGTGCGCGTGTATGTGTATGCAGGAGTGTGAAATGGAGTTCACTTGATTGAAAGTCAGTTAATACATCACAGGCTTTACCTAAATTGCCTGTTTCCTCCTCACAATAACCCTGCTGTGATGTTTCCTTATACTCATTTGACAGATGAGGAAACTGAGCCTCAAAGGGGGCAAATAACTCGTCCACGGTCATATTGCTAGGAAGCAGCAGATCTCGAATTTAAGGACAGGTCTTTCTGACTCCAGAGTTCTTCCCTTGCCCCAACCCCACCACTGTTGTTGGAAGAACTTGAAATCTGGAATGACAGGAGAGCAGGCAGAGCAGCCTGCAGATGTTTGAGTTTGATGTGGGTGATTCGTTAATCCCTGCACCATATTAAAGATTCCTAAAACCTCACAGGGCATGTTCTCATGTCTGCACCATAAGCAAGGGAGTGGCAAGTTTTCAGCCAAGAGCCAGGGTGGAAGAGCTGACTGGAGACATCCATCATCCACCAGCAGCATCTTAATTCAAGCCTCCAGGACCCTGCAAGGTGCTGTGAATAGGAGAGAGCTCAGCACAAAGGCTGCGGGTTACAAGCACCAGGAGGATGGATTTGGAAGGCTTGCTGTCCTCAGCCTGGCAGATAAAGGAAAGATGAAAGGTGTAGGTTCTTGTCTTGACAGAGAGTGTTTCCCCTTCGCCTTGCTCCTAATCTCATCTCTCTCTTAAATCCTAGTAACATAGATCATGAAGGGAGTAAGAAGAATAGGCACAATTTTCTTCTTCTCAGATATTTCTTATTCTGCCAGTGGCGATGTCGCCACAGGATCTCACTCTGTGAATGTCTTAGCCACCACACTGCATGGGAGACAAAATTGGATTACAGAGACATATCCAACGTGCTTTTCTCTCACCCTACTCATCCCTTTCCCTAAGCCCTTTTCCCTCCACCTTTTGTTCCTTTCTCCCAATCTGGGCAATACAGGAAGATGAGTAATTCTCACTCTCCTTCCTCTTTGTAAATTTGTGCCACTACAATGTTAGTACAACATACCTTGACTGCCAAGTGAAGTATTGCCTAGGAAACAATGATATGATTGAGTCTTTGTTAGGTCTAAGAATGACAACAGAGTTCTGGTGACTAGAATTAATATGTTTGAATAGAAAATGACTTCTTACTAATTTTCACCTTTTCAAGATAAAATCATAAAACTTTGAGATTCTGGCTCCCCCCTGTAAATAGATTTAGAAGGTCTTTTCTAGTCCCAGTTATCCTGGGATAACATGGATCTCTTATACTTAAATGAATGCCATAGGTTCGAAGGAAAGGAGAAAACAGCATAGATTGAGAGTTTTAAGCCCTGGCAGGGGTGATCTGGAAGACAGGGTAATTTTCTGGTTGATGGAGAGAATGGTCTTACTGGGGGATGTAGTTGCTCAGAGGAAAGTCTACTGTTCCAGAGCTCAGCTGGTCCCTGTTGGAACTCAGAATCATCTGTTGCCACTTTCTAGAGAGCTACAGAAACTCTCAATGTAGATGCCAGTTCAGCACCAGCATAGACCGTAAGGAATAAAAGCTGGTTGTAGTCCAGGGTTGAGAAGGCAGAGAAATGTCACTCCAAAGTGGTTGTGTGCGGCATCTTTGCTCTCCCAGAGTCCAGACTGTGAATCTGAGGCCATGATTAGACTTCAAGGGGCTAGCTTGATAAGGTATTTAAAAGTTTATGCATGTTACAGAGGATTTTTAGAACTATGAAACTATCCTGTGTGATACTGCACTAATGGATACATGTCATGATACATTTGTTAAAACCCATGGAATATACAACTCCAAAAGTGAGGCCTAATGTACACTATGGAAGTTGGGTGATAATGATGTGTCAATCAATGTAGGTTCATCAATTGTAACAAGGTATCACTCTGGCAGCTGTGGATAGTGGGGGTTGTGCATTTGTAGGGTAACAAATGTAATTTCCATTCAAATTTTCTGGGAACCTAAAACTGCCTTAGAAAGATAAAGTTTATCAATTTAAAAAAATCTGCATTTTGTATTTGCTTTTCTTAGAGAAACTTATCATTTTCATTGACATGCAAACAAGCAGCACAATCCTAAAATTGTTGAAATAAACCTCTCTCCCAGAGAACCTAAATGTGCCTGCTTGTTGTAGGCATCTCTGTATAAAACTAACAAAATGGGGCTCAGGGAATGTTAGTTATCCCCAGAAACTGACTTACTTTATTGCATTCATCTCATAAGAAGTTAAGATTATCACCGAGTCTAAAATCTATTTTGAAATTAACTAACCTGTTCTCTACTTTCCTCTTTCTACATATAAAAATACCAGTTCTTTCAACAGCTGCCTAGGACTTGATTCTGTAGCTTGAGCACCATGCGCTTAGCCATTTCACTGCTGGTGGTGTTTAGGTGGTTTCTGCTTTCTCACCATTAGTAGTGATGCTAAAATGTGTATCCTTGTGCACACTGCAAAGATTTATTTAAGAAACCTAATGATTGGCAACCTAAGAATGGCATTTTATTCCACTATCATTCACTAAAAAGCCCTCCCAAAAGACTAAAATCTACACCCCACTAGCGGTGTGTGAGTATACATATTTCCCAACACCTTCTCCAACTTCCAGGATTCTCCAACTTAAAAAGAAAATTGATAATCTGTTAGGTGGAAATAGTATCTAATCATATTAACGTGCATTTTCTTAATGATTATTTTCAGATGTTTTGTATGTTTATTGGTCACTTGTATTTCTCCTTTGTTGAAATTCCTATTTATGTCCTTTGCCAATTACTCCCTTTGATTGTTTATCCATTCTGTTCTTGTTCATAAGAGTTATTTATGTATTGTTTGTAATAAGCTTTTTTTACTGTTATTTATGTTGTAAACATTTAATTCCCAGTTTGTGTCATATATTTAGCTTCGTTGCAATATCTTGACTTCTGTCTTCTTGATTTTAGTTAAATTTATCTTTTCCTGTTTATTGTTTAATAAGTCGTCGATCTCTAAGTTCATGAATATTGTGAGTGTGTTTGTCTATATTTTCCCTATCAGTTCATAATTTTGAAAATCTTTGATACACCTGTCTTATTTTCAAGAATATTGCAAGGTAGAAACTTTTATTCTCCATCTCCACGCCACCGCCACCCTCAAATAAAGAAATAGTCAATTTCCTGGCACTGGATAGGTGACCTTTCTCTCCTGATGAGAGCTGGATCCATTCACATGGAGCCTGGAGTCCTGCTGCACCATAGGTCAGTAGCTGTTCTCTGCCTAGAGCCGTCCCCACTGCATGCCTTTGCCTAGTCTCATAGCTACTCCTTTAAGACTAAATTCAAGAATTGGTCCTCTACCTTCAGGAAGATTCACTCACTCTCCTAGTCATACTCCTGCTTAACCCATCAGTAATTTTCCTTTAGAATAAAATACAAACTCTTGATCAAGGCCAAGAGAGAGATGAATTAAGGAACTGTTCATTTTGCAGGCACATTTTCAATCAATACAAAGGGTCCAGGTTATGCTGTGTTAAAAAATAAGACTGTGTTGCATTGCTGGCCTCTCTGTCTGGCATAAGATACTTAAAGTAAGAAATGGCCCCAGAGTAAATATTGAACCATGTGGTTGAAAGATCCTTTGCTAAGGGGTCAAAAAACTTAAGAGGGTGTCTTGTAGACTCTTGCATCTAGGACTTCTAAAAATGTCCAGGGCATTAGCTCACAGCATTAGCTT